GCAGACCAAACAAATACTTGATCCGTATAAAAAAATATATTTAATAAAATAATTTTAATAACAAGTATCTTATATTTTTTATCCTCTACCTTTTTTACTATAAAGTAAGTATAAGTTTAAAAAAATTGCTTACACATTTTTTTTGTCAGTTTAATCTAACTTTGATTTACCATCGGTAATTTATTTCTACCTTCGTTTTTTTCCAAAATCTTTTTTAATGAATAGTTTTCCAATTTTTAACGCTGTCTTCTCTCTTAATATCGTCAGCTGTTTATCTATATATCTACGTATGGTGCCTTTTTCTATTTATTTTGGGATTAATTTTCATTTGTGTTCACATACTAATGTCTCTTTAGTAATGCTATTCAATTTATTCCAACATCAATTCCTCAAAGGAACCCTTGAAGTGTCATAGTTTTCAATAAATTACCTGCTTATTTCATCTTTGTAGAACTGCAAAGTACCGTTTAAATACTTACTCTACGTCTTTTATAATGGTTGCTTTTATCGATCATTAAGTTGGCAGTTGCCTTTTCATCAATCTTTTAGTTTAAATGACAGATACACAAAATATATTGATTGATTTTATAATAAGCTTAAACCTATTTTTCGACTTAATTTTCTCCATTTTTTTAGATTTATCTGTAAGAATTTTTATATTATACAGCCCTCCCTCACTAGTCCGACACTTTGAAATCCGACGTACTCGGTAATCCGACACGCCGCTACGGGAGACAAGTTCCGTGTTCAGTGTTCAGTTGACTTTCGTAGCGGACGTGCACGTGCATTTCATTTTCCCTGCGCAGTTAGTTCAAGTGTTCGCGTACAAATGGCAAAATGGCAAGCACGAGTGGTGTTAAACGAAAACACAAAACATTAACAATATCCGAGAAGTGGGAAATTATTAAACGTATAGATAGCGGTGAAACGCCGACTGCAGTAGCGAAATTTTATGAAATTGGACGGCCTACGATTTATGATATTATGAAGAATAAAGGAAAAATTGAAGGGTTCATGAAGTCTGTTGAGGACAACCCTTTAAACAGAAAAACCCTCAGAACAAGCGAGTTTCCTGAGGTGGAAGAAGCACTGTTTATTTGGTTTAAACAACACGCACACGGAATATCCCTATATCCGGAGACATACTTAAACAAAAGGCTCAATGTTTCTACACAGAAATAACGAGGAAAAATGACTTTCGTGCTAGTCATGGATGGTTCGAGAACTTTAAAAAACGCCATGGCATTCGATTTATGAAGATGTGTGGTGAAAAGGTGTCTGCTGACAGGTCTGAGATTGATGCCTTCATTGAAATGTTAGACAACAAAATTACTGAGCTTGGTTTAGTTCCTGAGCAACTGTACAACGCAGATGAAACCGGGTTGAATTGGCGACAGCTCCCGGCAGAAACATTTGTAAGTGGCGAGGAAAAAAAAGTTTCAGGAAGGAAATTGCAAAAAGAACGACTCACGCTTATGGTGTGTGCGAATGCATCAGGCACTCATGCATTAAAACTGCTTGTTGTAGGAAAATCAAAAAACCCTCGAGCATTCAAAAATGTAAAGGTTGAATCTCTGCCAGTAACTTACAAGTCACAAAGGTACACCAACAGCTTCGTTCCACAAGTTAAGGCTGAACTAAAGAAGAACAAGTTACCTATGAAAACCCTACTTTTACTGGATAATGCACCAGGACATCCTGATGCTGATGAATTAAAAATCAAAACTGCTGATGGCTACATTGAAGTTATGTACCTACCGAAAAATACGACAGCTTTAATTCAGCCCATGGATCAAAACGTGATAAAAACCCTCAAAGCTCACTATAAGAAACGCATTCTTATGGATGTTGTCAGTCAACCTGATGCTGATATTCCAGCGATTTTGAAAGCTTTTAACATTAAAGACGCCATTTTGAATGCTGCGTATGCTTGGCAGCAAGTAAAAAGCATAACACTGATAAAATCGTGGAGAAATGTATGGCCTAACAACCCATGTCTTACAACGTATAATCCTACATCCAACAGCGATTCAGAACCCGTTTTAGAGGCTACATTGGAACTTTGTAATGAAGTGCAACTTGCCCCCGCATCGGTTGAAGAGCTTAGAACATGGATCATAGAAGATAACCTTGATGCTGACATGACAGACGCAGATATAATTCAAGAAGTGACAGCAGTTGATGACAACGTGATCGAGGACGCAGCGCCAGAAAAAACCTTCACCGTCAGCTGTGATGAAGCTGTATCGGCAGCTAACACTTTGTTACGTTGGTGCCAAGAGAGAGATGTGGACATGAACAAGATTTTAGTGTTAAAAGGTTTGCAAGAGGCAGCAATGGTGGACTGTTTTCAAAAAAAGAAACAGAAGGCAATCACGGACTTTTTCAACAAGTAAATACATATTGTGCTCTTTTTTGTATGTAGTTTTAAGTCTATGTACATAAATTAAAATGTTGTTCACTTTATTCTGTGTTTTTAATATGTCCCTTGAATTTAACGATGAATAATACGTTGTCTAAAATGACGGTTATATCTTTGTGGCAATCATATTCATTACAGAATAGCCATTTTCCATAATCCGACATTTTTGGTAATCCGACATTACGTCGGTCCCGAACCTGTCGGACTATCGAGGGCGAGCTGTATTTCTTTGTTGAATATGTTTATTTCTATTAATATCCACTTCAGATTATTATTTTAATTATTTGTTTTAGTACACCGTTCACAGTTATTTTAAAAACATTGTCATACACTTATTTCTTCTTTAAAATATTTCCATCGCATTAGACGGATTTTGCAAGCAATATATACTCAGAATAGAGGAACTGGTAAGGAATCCAAAAGTACTTTGTTTAAATGTACTTTTTAATCGAAAAGAAGAAACGTTAAAATAATGGTATCAGGTAAAAAAAGCTCATTACCACAAACTTCATGTAGGATTTACTCTTTGTATGGCCCTGGTCTGGAACTATTTGACTTTTGACAATATCTGCTGAGTCACAGGTGAAACGTAGTACAAAAAATAAATCTGGTGCATCATTATTACAAAACACCGGTCGTGAAATTCTACACTCCTTTTTTTACACTTTTACATTCAGAAAGTTAGAGTAAATATTTTTAGACGCAAATAAGAGTATTTACAATACAAAAAACACACATGTAGACAACATAATTAAAACCAATATAAAAACAGCAAAATGAAATAATTGACAGAAAGCCATTCCCATTTGGAAGCTAGCATACATAAGGAAAAGCATACTTTATATTATTATATTTACTTCTAACAAAAATCGGTTCCAAAAAAATTGAAAACTCAACGTATGTCTGTCCCAATAATGTCCAAATTTAGTAAGTGCTCTTAACTTACGTTAAAAAAACGCTTTAATGTAAGAGAAGAAATATTCGACAATAGAATATAAAAACGTATAGACAATTAAAGTATTATACAAACATCAGACATATACTAGTAAAGTAAAAGATTACCATACAATTCAAATAGGAATATTAGAACAATTACAACAGATAATACAGTCAATAAGTGAATATATGAAAGAGAATATGAAAGATTATATTTAAAAAAATTACCCACTATAGTTATTTAAAACCACAAGTTTTTAACGAATTAACGAGCACTACTGGTTCGTTTTTAAATTAAGTATAAACTTTTACAAAGTTAAATATTAAAAGAAAAAAAGAACAAAGAATTATTGAAAGAAAAATGCTAAATATAAAACTAAAGGATAAACAAACAAATACGTCATTTGGAGATGAAACCAAAGTAAGAGATGTCAGAAAAGAAATTTGGCAAAGCTAAGATGCAAATTTAGAGAACACAATATCAGATATGATGAAAGATTCCGTATTCACAAAAATATTTAGTAATGAGGAGACCATTACCAACTTGATGACATCAATAACCGTGAAAATAGTGAGGTTATTTTTTCAAAAATGCCTTTGGTTAGAAAATTTAGTAGGTATAGTTAATGATGCTTGCTACTGCTGGGTGAAAATATATTTTGAATTGCAAAATATACACGTAGATGACACGTGCCTTTCAAGATATTGTCACAGGCCATAAAGTACAAGAAACAGTTCAGTTACCCTGTGTCTACTGTACTTTTGATGATATTTTTTAAAGTTAAAATTTATGCTATAAAGTTTGGGAAAAGTGTATATATGACATCAAAACCGTAGAAGGTATTTACCTGACTTGATATTTTGTACATAACCCAACATTTCAATTTAAAAATATAAATTCTTTTGGTCAAAATATGACGACAAATATCAAAAAACAAGACCAAACAAAGATCTATACTTACAATAAATAGTTCGAAGCATAAACCAGATCCTAATTACATGATAACTTCAGAACCACAGACTCAACACTATACTGTCACGATTATGATGATAGTTTTGCATAAGTTACGTAAGTTATTACGAGCACATGTTGGTATGTTTTAATGCTAATCTTTCTAATATAAATGTCTAAACACCACAAAGTCTAAGCACGACTTTGCTAACACGTGGTATTCGGTGAGTTGAAAAGAATAGAAATACTAGTTGTTCTTCAAGTATCAAAAGCCTTACAAGAATTTCAAAAGATGTTAATTTCAATTAAATTGTTTTTAAATTTGCACATTATATTTTAGTCGGCTGAATAAAGCTTTGAATTTACTATTACAATTTTTTTGTATTATATAGGATTGAAAATTTAAATTATGCCATGATTATTCAAAAGTTTCCAAAGGTACTAGATAAAAAATTGTAAAGTCCTGCTATTCTGCTTATTTTAATATATCTCTATTGTAAAAATATTACTGAATATATTAAAACGTCCAAATAATTTTTATTAATGTTCTGTACATTCTACTATAATATCGTTTTCACTTAAATCTTCTTATAATTAATTCTTAGTTATTTTTAAGTTACCTATCACCAAGCAGTTGCTACACAATTAAAAACCTCGATATCAAAATAAAAACAAAAACAAATGACTAACCTTACAAGGTAACGCCATGTCTGGGAATTATTCCAAAATATCGAAAAAATTCACCCACTAATTTGAAGAACTCGCTATAGATGCCGGAACCACACACTACAGAATCTTAAGTCGAATTGATCAGCAAAAGCTTCTTTATAATTTATATATAGTATCTAGGTTAAAAGTCCAATTGATAAAAGTTATATCACGTTCACAAGGAAGTGTAAAAATTACACTTGGGGAGACATCATGTCCAATCCAGGAAGTCTGACGGAGCCTCGTGCTGAGCATTTTGTAACCTAGCGAAGTTTTTCGATATCAAGAGCGACAGTTCTTTTGGTTTGGTGTTGTTCTGCAACAAGAAGAATTAATTGCCACGCTTCACGGTGTTTTAAGTTGTGTATTTTTTAACGATATTGATAAACTATTGATTAGTATTATGAGCAATGACTCAGCTTTTATGAATACTGTTTGTAAACCGGCATATATTTTATCAAGAATTTTAATTTTAAGATTTAAAATTTCTAATTTTTATACCTTTATAAAATATGATAACAAATATGTTCTTGGATAATTGCTTTCTCTATTATCAATTTTTTTTAATAGATAAATTTAATTTTACAGTTTTTCGTTAATAAACGTTTTATTTCTATTAATTTTTGACGACAATAATTCATCGAGTCCTGGCAATTATTTTCGGTTATTTCTTCTTGTTACCAATTCTTCCCCACGTTTATAAATATGAAATTTTGTTTATTATTCTTTGTCGATTTATAATTAGCATTCCCTATCTTCTTTTCCAAGTTTGACTTATTTTTTCATATAGATTTTAGTTCTTCTAAGACTTCTGTAAGAAATCTAATTTATTATATAACAGTAAATCATCATCATCTTTGGCTCGACAATCCTCTGTGGATCTTGGCCTGCTCTAAGATTCGTCGCCATTCTGTTCGGTTTTTGGCAACATGTTGCCATCTTTTGATTTTTAATATTCGTAAGTCGGTTTCTACTCGATCTAACCACCTAATTCGCGGTCGGCCTTTGCTTCTTTTTCCTACAGGTGTTCCTGTGGTTAGCTTTTTAGCAATGGTATTTTCTGGCATTCGTATTATGTGTCCAGCACATCTAAGTCGCTGTGTTTTAATGAACGTTATGACATCTGGCTCATCAAAGAGCTGATACAATACAAAATTATATCTTCTGCGCCACTGCCCTTGGTCGTTTACAGCTCCAAATATTTTGCGGAGTATTTTACGCTCAAATATTCCCAAAAGTCTTTCATCTTTCATATCTCCAATTCCAGGAGATATTGCTCAACATCTCGCTTGCTACGCCCTACTATGTCAATGTCATCAGCATATGCTAACACTTGTATCGATCTATTGTAAATAGTACCGCCATCCCTTATTCGTGTATCTCGGACTGCCTTTTCTAAGGCAATATTAAATAGGAGGCAAGCCAGAGAATCTCCTTGTCTGAGTCCATCCTTTATCTCAAAGGATCTAGAACTCTCTCCCTGTATTCTAACAGTGGCTTCTAAGTTAGACATTGTCATTCTCGTTAGTCGGATTTTTCTCTGGTATTTTTCTCTGTTTCTCTGGTATACCAAACTCATGCATTGATTGGTATAGCACTGTTCTCTTGACACTGTCGTATGCGGCCATGAAGTCGACGAATAGGTGATGGGTTTCAATATTGAATTCTAATGTTTTCTCGAGAATCTATCTTATTGAATGAATCTGATCAATTGTTGATTTTTCTGGAGTGAATCCAACTTGATATTTACCAATTATGCCCACTGTGTAAACTTGCAACCTTTCGTAGAGAATATAATAGTCAATAAACGATTTAAAAACTGCATACAATCGTTCAAGACTTATTCAGGTGCCGATTAGACAATCACACGCTCCATATTTTTCTGAAAGTATTGCATTGTCGCATATACATATTTTATATTAAGTGAATAACTGTTGATGAGCCGTTTGGTTTCCGAATGGGTACTCGGGAGGCTTTTTTGCATGTGAATACTCTTACAAAAAAATAATTAAGTTTGGAAAAAATATTTACGTATATTTTATAGATTTTGAAAAAGCCTTTGATACAGTATCACATACACTACTATTCCATAGCTTGGACTCAGTCGGTCGGTTTCAACTAAAGCTAAACGATGGTCGGAAAAATTAATATCAAAGACTCAATACTTAAATTAGATAACAAATTCCTGGAAAGGGTGGCACACTTTAGATATCTGGCTAGTTAGATTGATTGCAAGGTTGAAAATGATGAGGAAATTTCGACCAGAATAGAAATTGCTCGAAAAAACTTTACCTTTTCTTTCTATTGCTTTGTGCAATATAAGTCTGTTCTTAACCACATATCTAAGAGTATTGAATTGCTACGTCTGGTCCGCTTTGTTCTATGGATGTGAAACCTACATACAAACATAGAAAATAAATTAAGAGCGTTCGATTTGTGGTGTTACCGTAGCATGCTCAGAATTTCGTGGGCAGCACACATTTATGTAACGAACGTGTGCTAGAGAACTTGCACAAAGAGCGAGAATTTATCATCATTAAAATAAGGAAGGCCCAAAATAAGAAGGAAAACGCTGGGTCAGAACAAAGAAACTGACCTGGATGCGTAACATTAGATAATGGATAGGTCGAACAGTCGAGGAATTGTTTTATCTAATTGCCGATCGAGAAACATTCCGTCGGCTTGTTAATATGTCGATAGTCAACGCTTGAAAACAAGCACGGCACACAAAGAAGAAATACTTCTGTTCATTATATTAATAATTGTTTTATTTACTTTATTAACTTAAACATTCTCTTTTCTTCGATGAGACAAAATTTCAGCAGCATGGGTTCTCCTTATAGCAAACTGTCAAAGTTACTGTACAGTACAACCTTTAGCACATAACACAATAATATTTATAAAGAATTCACAGCATTTTTGCTAAAACTAACACAAATAGATTACAATCCTAATAATATGCTAGTCAGTTTTGATAATAACAAACTAGAAGGATGATACATTGAAAACAAAAACCAAACTGAATGTATCAGCTATAATAAAGCTATTGACACTATATACAGGCGTACAACGTAGTAGTACAGATATACCTATTTTTAACTGGGCAATGATCGTTATAAACAACATTTTGAATTAGCCATGGGCTCTTTATTATCTCCATTATTAGTGTTCACAATATGATGATGTAGAGGATGATATGTTCTCTATTAGGTCTTACGAACCAAAAACACTTAAAAAATTTTAAATAGCCATCAACAGTAAAGAATAATCAGTCAAATTCACAATGGAAAAAGAAAACAGCAGCTCAGAACTTCTCTGGATGTGTTAATCATAAAGAAGAATACCGGATATGCCACCAAAGTCTACAGAAAAGCCACACACCAACAAATATTTAAATTATTACTCAAGTGGCAATATCAATAGCCAAAAGAACTTTATTAAATCATTATAATTATGATAAAGCTCAAATCACCTGCTCTAACGAAAATGCATTTCAGGAATAAAAAACCTAAAAAAGATTTTAATAATAAATATAATTATTCATTGTAATTTATAAACAAGCAATATCACAAGATTAATGAAAGGTAACTACATAAAACCAAAAGCAATCCAGAATTGTGATTTGACGAATACCACAATACCATATTATAAAGCGCTTATCAGAAAAAATTAAAAGGATAGGAAATAAATACATCACAACAACATTCAAAACAAGCAATACACTGAGATCTATTCTATCCAAAATCAAATCAAACAACACACATGAGAGATCAAAGAACTGTATCTATAAAATACCTAGTGAATGCAATAATTTTTAAATTGGAGAAACCTTAAGACCACTTAGTATCAGAATAAACGAGCATAAATGATACAACATCAGAGACTTCGACAGATACAACGGAAAGATGCATTAATAGTCATGAAAGAAATATACTACCAAAATAGAAAAATCGAGAAAAAAGTCCTCATCTTAACAGAAGGTCAGAGACACATAATTTACCATTAGCTACATAAACACACAAAACTCAGAATTTGATATGAATCCGAGGGTAAAACATCACATTCAGAATTTAAATTGAAATCATTGCTATTTGCTTGCAAGATCGACGCCAATTAAGTAACCTATCAAATTAAATGTTCCTGGTTTAACCACATCTTGAGATTTCCTCTAGTTTTATCTTTTTTCTATTAATTATTCTATGTCGCCGGATCTGGTTTTGAGCGTTTACAGCCGTTGATAACTATTCTTATTGTATTTATAAGGGGGATCATTTTAAAATTTCAAAACTGGGTTAACAGGTTTGGAGTATGTTGTGTATTCAAATATCTAATCAGTTTATAAAATATTGTGGTGTTTTTTTAATATGTATTAACATAATGCCAAGCTTTATTGCACTGAATACTCTTTTATTATTTTTCTTTATTTTATATCTAGAAAAACATGGACATTGGCCTTGTTCAGATTTTGCCAGATAGGAATTTCGAAATTCTTTATTTTTTATTATACAAAATACAAAAGAAATTAAATTAAATCCTATCTTCGCCGTCGGTGTCTGGAACTGAAATAGTTTCAGCATCAATGTTATTTGATCTTTGAAGATTTTGATAACATGGCCTGTTATATCCACTAATGTAAGGTAGTAAATCCAACAATTTTTTCACTTTAATGTTGGCTAGAGGCAAAGGTTGTAACTTAATGTGTTCTGATTGCTCAATTTTCATTTCGTTTTTTGATTTCTACCTCCTTAAATCAATTTTTTTAAAAGCTTTTTCATCTGCAAAATTTTTTTTGTGAAAGCATTGGAACTCATGTTATTGGGTGTATTTTAACCATTATATTTGCATCCACGGGTGCATCCCATCATCATTCCTTTTACGATGTACTAATTTTCCTGATAGTACGCTACTAAAATTTAAAAAATATTTTTGTTCCATCTCTACAACTTAAAGGGAAAGAGTCTTCCGTACACTTTTTTATGAAATTACTCCAATCATGTGGAACTTCAATTTCAGATATTGTCTTTTTCTTAGGTGTCTCTATGGCCGCATGAATTGTGTCGGCCTCCATATGGGTGTGGCCAGGTT